TCACAGCACCACAGCCTCTGCTGTAACGCCCTGTCTTTCTGGCATGCTCTTCACTCTACCTTCTCACTGAAATGTTCCCTGTGCTGACATTGCAGAGGTTTCAGGTACCTCCTCGATATTCACTTGGATTCTGCCTTATTATATTTTCAGAACTTCATTTCTTTAGAGGTTTCTACATTGGATTGGAGAGGGAGCAGGCCGGGCTGAGGGATGCCCCCCCACCCCCCCGTGCATGAATTTCGTGCACTGGGCCTCTAGTTATAAAATATTTAGGCAGTGTTCAAATGTCCCCAATTATCTCATGATTTCTTTTTATTCTTGGCTTGCTCAAATCAGGATCCAAATAAGACTCACAGACTGCATTCAGTTGAAATGTCTCTTGTCTTTTTTAATCTATAGACCTCTTTTTCCTCCCTTGCCATATATTTATTGAATAAAGTGGGCTATTTGTCATATGGAATTTTCGACATTCTTGGTTTTGCAGATTGCATCTTCATGGTAGTTAACCTGCTCCTTTATTACCTGTAATTCCTATGTACCTAGAGGCTCATCATCATTATTAGTAATATTAAAAACTCCACTTCCAAGACCAACACTTTCCATGTATGACATCTTGCCAGAGTGAGTGAGGCTGGTCCCAAACTCTCCGGAGGCAACAAAAAAGAGGATAACTATTTTGCAGTAATGCCAAGTCTAGTCCCTGTTGACTTTACAAACAATAAACACCAGGCTAGAATCCATCATTAGGTGCATGACAGCTGTCTACTAGAATGTGTTGGGCCTTCCCTTTGTGTCTGAGAATGAGCATGGACAGGTGGGAAGAATGTGAACTTGGGAGTCAGAGAGCTCTGGATTGAACTTTGACTTTGCCTTTTATTAAGATCATGCCTTTCCTAGGTAATTTCTTTTAAAATATATTTTATTGATTTTTTACAGAGAGGAAGAGAGAGGAATAGAGAATTAGAAACATTGATGAGAGAGAAACATCAATCAGCTGCCTCCTGCACACCTCCTACTGGGGATGTGCCCACAACCAAGGTACATGCCCTTGGCTGGAATCGAACCTGGGACCTTTCAGTCTGCAGGCCAGGGCCCTAGTTAATATTTTTTCATCTCAGATTTTTTATATAAGAGGATAACATTTATCTTACCCGGCTGCTGAGATGCACCTGCCGTGTAGCATGTGTTTGTTTGTTTCCTTCCCTGCATAAGTTAAAAATAAGAATTTGCATCTAAAACAACAAATCCATAGAGTTTGTTTAAACCCAAATGCAAATGTAGCCTTCACCAACTTCATAAATAATAGAGAAAGGAGGTTTTCATGCACATCCTTCGAAAGACTATGCAGAAAGGGAAAGGAGCTGAGAACAGGAAACATAGCTCTCTGTCCCTCCTTGTAATCAGGAAAATGTTCCCGAAGAAAGCATGACCCGTTCTAGCCTAAAATGTTGCTATTCTCTGGACGGTGCTGGCTTGAGAACGTATTTCTTTTACCAAAAGATGAGTTCACAGTAAATGACTCAGAGACATATGGATGAAATTTCCCTTAAGCCACTCAGGGGATTAGAAATTAAGGAAAAGAGTGCTTGGCAAAATGCATTTGGGGTTTTGCCAAACCTAAACCAACTGAGAAATACTTAAGACACAAGGCAGATCTCGAATGCTGCCAAGTTTACCCATCTTAGCAGGACAGGGATTTATAATTAGAGCTGCTCAGAAAAGCACTGCCTCTCGGGTGGCAAAGGACAGAAAAGCCTTTGTCCTCACCGTCTCAACGGGCTGCTCGCTCCCAGATGGACCCTTCACAGTGTTCACCCCCTCTTCATCATCAGGGTCTGCAAAGCCACCTCCTGGCCAGTCGGTTCCCCTTCCACACCAGGCCCCCACCGTGCTCTCCAGGCCTCTTTTGTTTCCAGGCCAGGCTGGCTCTTTCTCACAGCGAATTCCTGGATGAGGGAGAACAAATATTCATGGGCGTTTTTGAATTACAGTGAAGAGCTGTCGTGGGAAAATATGACAAAACAATTTCCTTCCCGGACACAATTTTTTGGTCTTCTGTCTCTCACCTTTGTCACCTTTCCACATTTCTCTGCTTTCCATGGGTTTTTTTTCTCTGTAAGATGAGGGAATTGGATCAGATGTTTTCCAACTGTGCTGCTGGAGCCTTTTGCAGGTGGAAGGGTGAGCTTCAATAGCTCATCTCTCAGGGCTCTGTGGTCCATAGGAAGGACTTAGTGGTATTAGCTATTACTGTTCTACCGCCACCATCACCATCACCACTAGCACCATCAATACCATCACCACCACCATTACTATCACCACCACCACCACCATCACCCTCACCACTACCACCATCACTACCACCACCACCACCACCACCACCACCACCTTCACCACCAGCACCATCACTATTATCACCATCATCACCACCACCACTATATCCAATTAGAGATACATATCTTTTCTTTCCTTTTTCTTTTTTGCAAATATATGCTACAACTAGATTAGCAAACTGCTACCTGGTATAGAAACTTAGGAGAATTGCTGTAATAAAGAATGATTTGTATTTGGTATCATTTTTTGGTAGATAAGCAGTCGTTTCTTATCTACTTAAGCAATATTTGAAAACAGAGTGCCCTTCTGTGTGGACTGAAAATATCCTCTGGAGTTTTGTTTGCATTA